CTCCAGCTCCCAGCAGTGGCCAGTGTCACACAGTCAAGAGGGTCCCAAGAGTGTCCAGGCAACTCCTCCCAGAGGAGTACCCCTGTCCTGGGGAGGAGGCAGCCGTCCCTCTGGAATGGCTCCAGGCTTGGTCGGGTGAGGGTAGGTCCTGGTCACGACATCCACTCCCCAGGTGAACATGGCCACCTTAAATGCTGGACAAGCTGGCGGGCAGGTAACAGGGGGACCCAACAGGACAGGGATGTCCAGGGCATACTGGAGGCTGAGAGGGACCACTGAATAGCAGGAGTGGGGGGTTGGGTGGGCAGCACGGGCAGGCCGAGGAGGCCCCAGGGTGGCTCTAGACGAACCAGGTAGGACAGGAGTAGGCAGGCAGGCTGAGAAGGCAGCGACGTCTCTGGTGACCAGGGGCAGGATGAGAGGGCGTGCCCCTCAGAGCTGCTTCCGGCTCCTGCCCTGTGAAGGCTGCCAAGATGGGTGAGCGATGGCCCAGAACCTCCACGCCTTCCGGCTCCCCCCATGCCCAGCCATTTGGAGTTTGTGCCAGACATGTCATGGACACACATAGCTCCGGTTGAGAGGACCCCAGCATTAGGAACGGAACAAGGGCCAATGGGCCCCCAGCAGGGCCTCTCCTGTGCCCACATCCCTGTGAGGGCAGCAGAGAGCCTGGGCCCTGGAGCCTAACCACCTGTGTTTGAACCCCAGTCTGATCCCTTACTGGCTGTGCAATCCTTGATAAGTCACGCACCCTCTCTGAGTCTCCATTTCTTGATTTAAAAACTTTTTTTAGAGTCAGGGTGTCATTCCATCCCCCAGGATGGAGTGCAATTGCACAATCATGGCTCACCACCGTCTCTGCCTGCTGGGGTCAGCAGATTCTTCTTTCTCAGTCTCCTAAATAACTGGAATTGCAGGCACATGCCACCATGTCAGGTTAATTTAAAAAAATTTTTTTTTTTGTAGAGGTGAGGTCTCGCTATGTTGCCCAGGCTGGTCTCCAACCCCTGGCCTCAAACCATCCTCCTGCCTTGGCCTCCCAAAGAGCTGAGGTTACAGGCACAAGCCACCACACCCAGCCAGTTTCTTGATCTTTGAAATAAGGAGCACCCAGCCTAGTCAGGCAGCTGGGAGGCCATTGGCCATGACCATGACCCATTACCAGGGTTCCCAGAGGCTTAAATGAGGTACCCAAGGTCACTCTAGGGGTGGATGCTAAACCCCAACAAGCCCCTGCAGGACCTGCACTGCCTCTCCAGCTCCTGCAGTGGGGCCTGTGCATGCTCCGGAAGCCCCAGTGGCTGGGGCCGTCTTCACAGGACACCCAGCTCCCCTACAGACTCTCCAAACCCATGGAGCCCAGGCCAAGGGCGCAGCCCCAACAGGTGCCATGCACTGCAGCCTCCTGCCCCCTAGATCAGGAGCCAACTTCTCACCTGCCTCCCTGCCTCAGTCTCGCCGGGGTGCTGGAGTCAGGACAGAGCGCACTTTGCCCCCCTCCTCCCCCAAGGGCATCTCCAAAGAGGTGAGGAGCCATGCTTTGGAATCTGTTTATTGAATAATAGAAGGAGGAGGTGTCCCACGGAGGGGGGTGAGTGGGTGGGGGAGGAGAGGCTTCCGGCAGTCCAAGGCTGTGGTCTCCACTCCAGGGGTGTTGAGGTCTGCTGCTTCTGCTCCCCCTGCACAGCAAAAGCGTGGTCACTCCACACACCCACTCCCATGACAAATGTCCTTGCTGCCCTGCACAGGTAGGGAGCCCTTCCAAGGCTATCCCCTGCATGGCAGAGAGAGCTAATTCTCCCCCCAGATTTCTGCAAACATGGAAGCACACACCAGCCACCGCTTTCCTCTGCAGCCTTCAGCTGGAGGACAGCATGGCACCAACACTGCTGCCCCTGCCTTGCCCTCAGGGGCTGGGGGACTCCGCCATACCCCCAAGCCCATGGCTCACTAGCCACAGCCTCTGTCCAGCCCCAGGGGAAGGTCCTGGCATGGCAAGAGAGGCCTGGCATGGCAACAAAAGCCACAATCAAATCCACTACCACCACAGTCACCCAGGACGCATCCAGGTGGACACTCCACCTGGAGAATTACTTCTTCAAATAATGGGGGGGACAGGAGACGGGCTCACGCCTTCTGCCCATAGTACCTTCTGGAGCAGGGGTCCCCAACCCCCAGGCTGCGAACACATACTGGTCCGTGGCCTATTAGGAATCAGGCTGCACAGCAGGTGGTGATGGATGGGCAAGTGAGCACAACTTCCTCTTTATTTATAGCCAGTCCCCATCGCTCACATTATTGCTTGAGCCCTCCCTGCCTCCTGTCAGATCAGCAGCAGTATTAGATTCTCATGGGAGCGTGAACCCTGTTGTGAACTGCGCATACGAGGGATTTAGGCTGCGTGCTCCTTATGAGACTTGAATGCCTGATGATCTGAGGTGGACCTGAGGCAGTGATGCTAGTGCTGGGGAGCAGCTGCAAATACAGATGAACGTTACCAGTGAGATTTGACTGCACAGAGACTGTAATAAATCCATTGCTTGCAGATGCCTATCCAAACCTATCAGTGAGTGGCAAGTGAGCCGATGTACTTCAGTTGTATAGCTGCATCTGATGGCAGGGTTTAAGTCAGAATCTGACAGTTCTTTTAGCCTGCGTGTGGCCTATTACTTTATCTGCCACTTCCATCCACGCCTCCTTTTTTATGATGAGTTGTATACTTATTTCATTATATATTACAATGCAATAATAATAGAAATAAAGTGCACAATAAATGTTATACACTTGAATCATCCCAAAACCATCTCCTCCCCCACCCATGGAGAAACTGTCTTCTACAAAACTGGTCCCTGATGCCCAAAAGGTTGGGGACCACTGTTCTGAAGGGCGACTTGGCACTGACCCCTCCCCCATGTTTTTCAAGCCACCAACTGTGTGAAGGGAGACACAGGTGCAGACCCATGAAAGCTGCACCACCCAGATGTCCCCAGGCACAACAGATGCCAGCCAGGGAGAGAACAACACCAGGAGCTGTCCCCAAGCCCACAGAAAAGGACAAAGTCACAGGAAACACTAATGGGAGAGGATGGGAGAAGCTACAGAAATGCAGAAACAGCTAGGTACGACGGTTTATGTCTGTAATCCCAGCACTTTGGGAGGTCAAGGCAGGAGGATCACTTGAGCCCAGGAGTTTGAGAACAGCCTGGGCAACATACTGAGACTTCATCTCTACAAAAAAATTAAAAAATTAGCTGGGCACGGTGGCATGTGCCTGTAGTACCAGCTACTCTGGAGGCTGAGATGAGAGGATTGCCTGAGTCCAGGAAGTCAAGGTTGCAGTGAGTCATGATCATGCCACTGCACCCCAGTCTGGTTGACAGAGTGAGACCCTGACTCAAAAAAAAAAAAAAAAAGAAACCGAGGAAACGCTTGCTGTGATAGAGACCCTACAAACACCTCCCTGCCCCAATAGGAAAGTCTGCAGGGTCCCTGCAGATGCGGGGTGACTGTCACATTCAACTCGTGATTCATGGTGTTATGTAGGTGCCCAAATTCTCGATGGTGAGCCTGGGCAAGGGACCTAGCAGTTTTCTGGTGTCTGGTTTTGTGAAAGGTCTCCCTGAGACCCTACTGGCTTCTGGCATCCTGCCATGGGCGCTGAACTAGGCTGTGGGGCACTGGGCAGAAGCTGATGACCCAGGCAGCTCCCAGGGAGGACCCAGGCTTTGGTAGTGAGCCATGGCCTAGGGGACACAGTATAGAATAATAGTGTCCTCCAAAACTTCATGCACCCAGAACCTCCGAATGTGCTCTTATTTGAAAATAGGGTATTTGAGATATTGGCTGGGTGCAGTGGCTCATGCTTGTAATCCCAGCACTTTGGGAGGCTGAGGCAGGAGGATCACTTGAGGCCAGGAGTTCAAGACTAGCCTGGGCAACATAGCAAGACCTCATCTTTAAAAAAAAAAAAAAAATTAGCTGGACACGGTGACATGCGTCTGTAATTCCAACTACTTGGGAGACTGAGGCTAGAGGAGGCAGTGGTGAGTTGTGATTGTGCCACTACACTTCAGCCTGGGTTACAAAGGAAGACTTTGACTCAAAAAAAACCAAACAATGAGAGAGAGAGAGAGAGATTATTATTGTTATTATTATTTTTGAGTTGGAGTCTCACTCTGTCACCCAGACTGGAGTGCAGTGGCCTCTCCCGGCCACCGCAGCCTCAACCTGCTGGGCTC